TTGCCTCTCCCAGCTTCTGGTGGCTGCTGGCATTCTCTGGCTTGTGGCCACCTCACTCCCATCCTTGCCTCCCTGGTCACATTGCCCTGGCCTCCTCTATGTCAAATCTCCCTCTGCCCCTCTCTTCTAAGGGTACCTGGACTATATTTAATCCTCTCCACCACCACCCCCCACCCCGGCGAACTAGCATAATCTCCTCACTCAAAACCTGATTTAGGCCACAGTTGCAACTTTTTTCCCAAACAAGGTAACATTTACAGGTTCCAGGGATTAGGACCTAATATCCTTAGGTGTTATTTTATTTTGTTTTTGCAGTTCTTGGCTGGGGCTGGGTTTGAACCCACCCCCTCTGGCATATGGGCCAGAGCCGTACCCTTTTGAGCCATAGGAGCCACCCCCTTGGGTGTAATTATTCAACCCACTACATTCTGTTTTTACCAGGAAAAAAACAACATTAGTTTTAGGGAAAATTCAGTTTTGTTCAGACTAATCCAGCTAAAATTATTATACCCAAAGTGGGGGAAAGTTGCTGATTTGAGATTCTTAGAGGAGGCAGTTTAGAGAGGTGTTAAATTATATATTGAGTTGACATCAAAATAACGTCTTTCTGTATCTATCAGTCTCCCTCATTAAATCAAAAGCTTCCTGAGGACAGGAACTGTGCTTATTCTACTCCTTGTTGTGTTTCCCTGCTCTCCAACTGGAAAATGTTGTAACCATTACTTAGTAAATGTTTGCTGACAGGTTTGTTGACCAAGGCACATCATTCTGAAACGTCACTAATGGCAGATAACTAGCTCCTTGCAGTAGGCAAAGTCAGGCTGGCTGTGAACTCAAGACAGCTGCCAAGGAGGGCAGTGCCAGCTGTCTCGGTTTGCCCCATCAACTCTCCCAGTTTTAACACTGAAAGTCTCATGTTCCAGGAAGCCCCTCCATGTTAGCCAGGCTAAGATGATTGGTCACCCTGCCAGGAGCCCAAAGTTGGAAGGAGCTGCCTCAGAAATGCTGGTGTTCAGCACAAGTGGAGAATGTACACATGATGGTACTGTCCTAGAAGAGTGGCCCAAGTGCGGCTCTTTCACATTCTCAAGTTCAGAGCAAAATATTGACTCATTCACTTATACCATTCAGCAAATGTTTACTGGGAACTTACTATGTATGCCTGGCAAGCATAGTTTTAGGTGAGTGAAACAGAAAAAATCTTTGCTCTTGTAAGTTGCACATTTTAATAGAGGGGATAAATGATAAACAAATGTGAGGCATAGATCTAGAATAAGATCTATGTGAGATGAAGAGAAATAATGCAGCATACAAGGGAGAGAATGATGGAGATTGCTATTTTAAGTAGGAGAATCAGAGGTCTCTTTATAAGGCGACATTTGAACAGAGGCAAGGATGAAACAAGGGAACACTGGGCAAGTATCTGGGGGAAGAAGGTGCCAAGAAAAAACAGCAGGTGCAAAGGCCCTGGGGTGGAGGGACACGCTGAGCTTGCTGGAGGGAACATGTGGAGGCCAGTGTGGCAAGCATGGATGAAACAATGGGAGACAGACTTAACAGTGCTTGCTTCCACAGGTGTAATAAAGACATATGTATAAAGACTATCTGGGAGGACATGCAGTGGTTCCCCCAGAGATTTGCGTTGGAAGGAAGACTGATTCCTCTGTGCATTCCTCTGGATGCTTTGCTTTTTATATATACTGTATACATATAATCTGTGCATGAATCACTTTTTAAAAGTCTAGTTAGTAGCTTAATTTAGGATGTTACAAATGGCTGTATAATAATTAATCAGACATTAAAAGACGTAGCTGGGTGCAGCTGCAGGTTGTTTGTGTTGGGCTACCCTAGTGGGGGGCTGCCCAGGCAGCAGAACTGGAGGTATAGAGGCCATGGCAGCTTTGAGTGAACAGAGAAATCCAGAGTGAGGGCCCTGCAGTGGGGGATAGGAGCCTAGAAGCTGTTGTCAGTACTGATTAGGAGAGAATGGTCACAGAGTCATCCTAGACCTTTTAAGATTTAACCCTTAGCCACATCGCTCTGGCTAATGTTGAGTGATATTCTTTTGTAGGCAAAAAATTGGGGTGGACAAAATTTCAATTCCCAAACCACAGTTGCCTAAGGATGGGTTCTCCTATCCTAAAGGGAAAATGTAAAGAAGCTTAAAATAAGTTTGCAGTGACCAGATCCCTCTAGGAGAAAAATGAGGACTTACAGAGATTATGGAGAGGTTTGGCGTGGGATGGAGAGAGGTTGTAAATAATGAAGTAAACACCAACCCCAAATGGGACCCGCAGGCATGGGGGTGGGGGGGAGGGTGTTAGCCTGCCCCACCTCTTAGTACAAAGATGACTAACAGCTTCCTAAATTATTAAAGGAACTTTCCATGAAGGCTGTTAAATTAATTGGCCTCCACCTTTATTCCCCAGACACATTTTTTAAAGGGGAGTGGGGTTGATGGTACAGAGCTTTACAAACCCTGATCCTGGCTTTGCAGAGATGAAGAGAGGCCTCCCCACCCCTCCCTCTGTGCACAGCAGAATGTGGGAGGGTCCGCACCACATTCCACAGCCTCCACCCCCCCAGCTTCTCTCTCTCACTCCCCCTTGTGAGGGTCTCTCTGCCTTGTTAGACAAGGGTCCCCTCCACAATCCTGTTTTCTAAATGACAGCTCCAGGAAAGAGAACGGAGGTGTCAGGGTGCTTACTCTCAGGCTGACAAACCCACCAGAAGATTGGGACGTCTGTGGCCGGAACACTCCCAGTCTCACATTTCTCTCCCACTTCTGCTTCTGCTTAGAACGCGAAACCTCAAGTTCTCCATGTAAAGAATTTTGGTTGCCTTTTAAAATAGTGGGTTTCTGTATGGTATATATGCTTTACTTCAATTAAATAAAAAAGGAATAAAACAGAAAAACGTGGTAGACAAAGCCTGGGCATTGTGTCCCACATAGTAAGTGCCTACTATGTGCCAGGCACTGCTCTGGGCCCAGGGACTTATCGTATCCCTACACGTACAGAGCTTATGTGCTAAGGAGTGAGACAGACAGTAAACAATGACCTTAATAGATAAACATGTTTATAGTGTGTGTGGTGGTGGTGAGTCCCGTGAGGGGAAAATGAGAGCACTGGGAGAGCTAGGCTGCAGTGGGATCTCACAGTTCTCTAAGTTAGAACAGATGACAGACAGTTGGTGTCACCTGCAGTAGGGCCGGAAAATGGGAGATACCCAGTAAAGTTAATTCCCTTCCACTTTCTATGCCTAAAAATTCTCATTGCTGACAGTGTGAACTTCAGTGTTACCTGCAAGCCAGCAAATGACAGCTGAAGACTAAATAGAGGGCCAGGTGGCTCACACCTGTAATCCTGGAACTTTGGGAGGCTGAAGCAAGAAGATCACTTGAAGCTAGTAGTTCAAGAGCAGCCTAAGCAAGAGAGAGACCACATCTCTACAAATAAGAAAAATTAAACTAGGGTGATGATAGGCACCTGTAATCCCAGCTACTCAGGGGGCTGAGGCAGGGAAATTGCTTGAATGCAGGAATGTGAGGTTGCAGTGAGCTATGATGACACCACTGCACTCTAGCTAGGGTGACAGAGGGAGACCCTGGCTCAAAAAAAAAAAAAAGAAAAGAAAAGAAAAAAGAAAACAATGACGGAGCAGTGGTGAACAGAAAAAGAAAAGCAACCATCCATTAGAGTCAGGATATTACGTTTGGTGGTATTGCAGGGGCAGGATTTACCAATTAAGAATGTGTTTTATAACTATACCATTGCTATTTGTGAATGTAAAGCAAGCTAAAAGGAAATAAAAAGACCTTGAATTCAAGATCATGAAGATTGAAGTGAGCTCCAGAGCCCCTTTTAAAGAACAGTTGAAATTCTGTAAGTTGACCACCCAAGGAACTGTAACAAACTGGTCAACATACAGAGGTTGTCAACACATGGAACTAGGCCTACTATACTGATATGTACATGTGGTGCAGTCGGTGTAGAGAGGTGGTCAGCTATGGAGGGTCCAGTGTATATTTTGATCTAGGTGGGTCACCCAGGAATATACATATGAAAAAACTCATGGAACTATAGCTTAAGATTTGCATACTTTATTTAATAATATAAGTGATAATATGTGAGTGACATCTCAGTGAGAAAAGAAAGCTGGGTATGATCACCACTGACTTTGGATCTGGTACTGCTCTTGTGCTGGCAGGTTCTGAGCAGGCCGCACTGCAGAGGGAGGGGCCTGGGCACTGGCAGGATGGATTCTCAGGACAGGGACCCAGGCCTGGGGTCAGGAGAATCTGCCCACATTGTGCTGAAGCCCCAGCAGGTGTGAGGTGGACGCGGGCCAGCCTGTGACCACACTGCTTTATTGCTGTTCCTGCCTCTCCTTGAAGCCCTTGGGGCTTATGGAGGAACAAAATACACAGGAAATAACCGGAGAGCAGGTCCAGGCAAGGCCACCAGGTCTCAGGGACAAAGCTCTTATCCCTGCTGAGGAAGGCACGTCTTTCCTGCTTCCTGGCATCTAAACAGGCAGCAGCTGAATTCTCGAGGTCATGGTCACAGGCGAGGTGGGGAGTGGCCGTACCCACAAAGACTGCTAGCCAAGTGGACACGGGTGCCACCCTGTCAGCTCCCTCTCACTCTGCCTGCCTCTTTATCTCCCCACGTGAGTCTCAGCAACGCTCTGCCACAATGGACACACCCAAGAGTCTACACATTCTTGACAGCTAATAACCATCTCAGGACACACAGGGACTTTAGAGGCCCACCCAGCCCCTAAAACACTTTACGTCATCAGCCTTCACCTTGAGACACTTTACGTCATCAGCCTTCAAATCATAGCTGGCTGGTTGTTTTCATGGAAAGGATGCCTCTGGGAAGGGCGACCTCTAGGCACTGTCATGAGGCTGCAGTGCAGGGCCTGAATCTTGCCAGCACACAGAGGGGGTCGCACTCCGGAGCACTCACTGGCCTGCTTCATATTCTTCTCCACAGGAGGCAGTGTCACATTGCCCGGAAGAACGCCAACTGGCCCGAATCCAAAATGTTATCCAGGAGCTTCCCCCCTCCCATTATAGGTAAGAATCCCTGGGAAAAGTAACATGGAGCCTGGGCACCATGGCTCCTGCCTGTAATCTTAGCACTTTGAGAGGCCAGGGCAAGAGAATTGCTTGAGGCCAGGAGTTTAAGAGCAGGCTGAGCAACATAGCAAGAATCCATCTCTTAAAAAAAAAAAAAAAATTATTAGCCAGGTGTGAGGTATGCACCTGTTATCCCAGTTTACTTGGGAGGCTGAGGCAGGAGGATTACTTGAGCTCAGGAGTCTGAAATTACAGTGAGGTATGATGACTGCACTCCAACCCAGGTAACAGAACAAGATCTTGTCTCTTGGGAAAAAAAATACTGTGCAAACTCTTAAGGTGATGGGACTGGCAGAAGGACTGGCCGACATCATTAAAAAGGAGCAAATTCAGAGGACAGTGGCTTTACTGGGTGACACTTTGAAAGTGGCGAACAGTCATCAAAGTGTCACTGTCATCAAAGTGATTTGGCACTGGACCAGAGACATAAGTGCCAATGGGCAGTCCTCCTCCAGGTCCCTTACAGAGGACTCTCAGAGTCCCTCACGTGGTCATTCCTCTCATGCAAGTCAGCCTCTCAGGGGCATCCTTGGTTCTTACCCAGATTTGTAGCAGAACCAAATCTGTGGGAGACACAATAGCTTTTAAACAGGGGGTGCTGCAGTGTTTGAGCTCTCTGCTTGCTCTTCAGTACCACGCCTTGCATCATCCCATCCTTTGATTTCATTTTCACAGGTTAGCACTAATTGCCCTTATGCCTGCCCATCTTTTATAAGATTTTGCTGGAAGAAAGAATTTCTAGCAATAGCAAATGTCACAAAACAAGCTCCCTGAAAAGTACTAAGTTATCTCTAGCTGGGAGAAATTTTTTTCTTTTTTTTTATTAAGTCATTGCTGTGTACATTAATGCAGTCATGGGTACAATGTGAAAAAAAAATTTTTTTAATAGGGCCTAGATGAGAGCAGTTTCAAGACTGCACAGAGGTGATTCTGCCCTGGTTCGTGGCCACTAAGAGGGCTCAGACTCTGAAATGCTGTGGGTCCCTGGTTTTGCCTGTGGGTGATGCTTCACAGGCACAGGCCCCCACTGACTTCTGCCCCACGCAGGGCCAGTGTGCCTGGTGGTACTTGCATCCTTCTTGACATTTTCCCAGTATTCCTTCAAAGTTCATAAGACAGAAATATTTAGAGTCTCTTAAATCCAACTTAGAAATTACTCCAGATGTCAGGCTTTACATAGGCCCTGAAGTTTTCTCACTTTGTCAAAAAAATGAACCATTACAGGACCTTGGAATACCTGATCCGACACCTGGCCCACATCGCCTCCTTCAGCAGCAAGACCAACATGCACGCCAGGAACCTGGCCCTGGTGTGGGCACCAAACCTGCTCAGGTAACCGCTACACCATCACCTTCTCACCACCCAGTGTGCTCAAAACAGCTCCTGAATGAATGAAGACAGGGCTCTTCAAAATTAAAGCCCCTTTAAAACAACCTTGTAGCTGAGGGGTCATTTGTAGCACATCTGAGTTAAATGTGACTTTAACATTCTAAACTCTGCCTGCTAACTTGGAAGCTCTGGGCTCCAAAGGCATGTTTTGGGGGGTTTTGTTTGGTTTGGTTTTTCCCTATAATCATAATGTGGTTAAAGTTATGGGTCTGTATGTTACAATTTCTTGAAGAAAAAGGCTTTATTGGCTTTTGATTTTGGTGGGGTAACAGCTAACTCTAACCTGGATCATCTGCTTCATACGACTTTGTAAGTGATGACCTACCCCATAGAATAATTGAGTGGGGATGGAAGGGATCCTATGAAGATAGTGTTTATAATTTTGCAATGCATAATACCTGGTAACTGTTTTAAATGTGTTCAGTGTATTGAGCTTCACAGTCCTTGGAGGGTTCCTTTACTTAGTCCTACGTACAGTAGAACCTCCATAGTTGGCCGCTTCCTCATGTTGACCTAGTTTGCGCTGATTGGACATGTACCACATGTACAGTATACTAGGCCTAGTTCCTTTTCTTGGCCAGTTTGTTACAGTCCCTTGAGTGGTCAACTTACAGAGGTTCTCCTGTAGTTAAGTATTCTATAAAATAAACTATAAATTTAGAAGATAGGGTTTATGCAAAAGGCCTCCAGGCTCCCCTTGCTGCTTCAGGTTGCAAGGCAGACTTGTTCACTGAATGTGTTTCTTTCATGGAATAGGTCTAAAGAAATTGAAGCCTCTGGTTGCAACGGAGATGCAGCCTTCCTTGCTGTCCGGGTCCAGCAGGTGGTGATCGAGTTCATCTTGAATCACGTGGATCAAATCTTTAACAATGGCACACCTGGGTCTCTGGAAAACAATGGTAATGACTCTTCCTGACATATACCACCCCCACCAGCCTATCTTTCATTGTTTCCCTAGACATGAGGCCCAGGGATAAGCAAGGGTGGGCTTGGTTTTAGCTCTGAGTGTTGGCTGTGTGTTTGTGCTGATTGTGTATGTGTGTCAGTGTCCAAGGATCATAGACATATTCATCTGTATGTGTGCAGCAAATCCATGCTGTGTTTTCATGTAGTTTTAGCATGTTTCTGGTCAGTTGCATATATGGCCTCCCTGTGAATGGGGCAGAATAGAACTGGAATCATGTTCTACCAGCTTTGATGAGCTCTTAAACACTGAGTTATGGCACTGGCAACATTCTTCCTGACTGTTAGATTTTATCTTTACTTTCATTATCATATTACATAAGACCGTTATGCCTTCACCTTGAAGTCTTAGATGAACAAGAGGCAACATGTTCATACTCGCCCTGCACCAGACAGTAGGCATACAAAAATGAATGTTTGTGGGTATCTCATAATGGCATAATGAACATTAGGAGTGAATTGGCTTATATGTTTGAACTCCTGTGAGCCTAGTTTGTAAAAACCAGAAGCACAGTTGATCAGGAAGCCTGCTGTATGAGAGTGGCTTTTCAATATCTGATGAGCTTGTTAAACCACAGATTACTAGACCTTCATTCCCAGAGTTTCTGGTTTAATATGCTTGGACTGTGGCTGATAATTTGCAGCTAACAGGCTTCTAGATGATGCTGATCCTGCTGCTCAGGCCATCGTTTGGAGAATCAGTGCTGTGTGAGAACTTTATCTACATGATATTTGTTAGCTCATCAAAACACTCTTTCCCAGTTTATCTAATATATTTGGAAGAGCCAATATACTCATAAGAATAATCAGTTGCAGTTAACATCAAATTTTGATTCCTGGCATAATTGCTTCCACCCCTTCCCTGTTCTCTATGTGATTTATGACTTCTCTTTCCTTAAATTATGTTTATTGAGATTCAATACACATAAAATACACCATTTTAAAGTGTAAAATTCAATGGTTTTTAGTGCATTCACAAAATTGTACAACCATCACCACTCTAATTCCAGAACATTTTCATCACTCTATAAAGAAACTTACTTGTCTTTGTTTGTGCTGCTACAAAAGAATATTACAGACTGAGAAATTTACAATGAACATAAATTTATTTCTGCTGAGCATGGTTGTGTGCACCTGTAGACCAGATACTCAGGAGGCTGAAGTAGGAGGAATACTTGAGGAGTTAAAGAATGGAAGGGCAGGAAAGAGAAGGGAAGGGAAGGGAGGGGAGAGGAGAAATTTATTTTTCATGGTTCTAGAGGTTAAAAGTCCAAGATGGAGGGGCTGGCATCTGGTGAGGGCCTTCTTGCTTTGCTACGACATCCTTTGGTGGAAGGTGGAAAGATGAGAGAGGCAGAGGACAAGCTTGCCAAACCCACTCCCATAATAATGGTGTGATTGCATTCAGGAGGGCAGAGCCCTCATGATCTAATCACCTCTTAAAAGTTCTATCTCTCTATAGCTCAGTGCCCGTAGCACAGTGGTTGTGGAGCTGGCCACATATACCGAGGCTGGTGGGTTTGGACCCAGCCCAGGCCTGCTAAACAATGACAACTGCAACAGAAAAATAGTCGGGTGTTGTGGCAGGTGCCTAAAGTCCCAGCTTCTCGGGAGGCTGAAGCAAGAGGATTCCTTGAGCCCAGGAGTTGGAGCTTGCTGTGAGCTGTAACGCCACAGCACTTTACTGAGGGCGACAAGTGAGACTCTGAATCAAAAAAAAAAGTTCCATCTCTCAAAGCTTTTGCACCGGGGATTAAGTTTCCAGCACATGAACTTTGGGGGACATGTTCAAACCAAGGCAAAACCCCCACACTCATAGTTTTGGGGGTTTTTTGAGACAGAGTTTCACTATGTTGCCCTTGGTAGAGTGCCATGCTGCTACAGCTCACAGCCACCTCAAACTCTTGGGCTCAAGCTATTCTCTTGCCTCAGCCTCCCAAGTAGCTGGGACTATAGGTGCCTGCCACAATGCCCAGTTATTTTTTTGTTGTTGTAGTTGTCATTGTTCTTTGGCAGGCCCAGGCTGGGTTCAAACCCGCCAGCTCCTGTGTATGTAGCTGGCACCCTAGCTGCTGAGCTACAGGCACTGAGCCAAAAAAAAAAACTCATTAAGCAGCCACTGCACGTATTCCCCTCACCCCTCACCACTAACCTACTTTCTGTCTCTATGGGTTTGTTTATCCTGTACATTTCATATGAATGGAATCATGCAATGTGTGTTCTTTCATTAGTGGCTTTTTCACTTTGCGTGTGTTTTCAAGGTTTACCCATGTTGTCGCATGTATCAGTACTTCATTCCTTTTACCCACTGCACAGTTGATGGGCATTTGGGTTGCTTCCGTTTTTCACTATTATATACAATACTGATTATTATTTAAGTATGATACTGCTATGACTATTCATGTACAAGTTTTTGTATGAACATAGGTTTTTAATTCTCTTCATCGTATATCTAGCAGTGGCTGACCTTTCCTTTTTATTTTCAGTTCTCCCATTATAGATTTTGGTATTGTAAGCTATGTGAAATCCCTTTGGAAAGCAACTGAGCAGTAATATGCGTGTGTTTATTAATTCATCCCTTCAAGTTAGCAAAAACATGATTGGGTATTTATTCTAGGAACTATTGCAGGCATTTCCACATGCAACGTTTTATTAACTTGTCGCAGCAACATCATAAAGTTGTTACCAACATTACTTTTATACACAAAGACCAAGACATCCAGAAAAGCTTAGTAAGTACCCAAAGCCATAATAGCTAGTAACTTATAAGGCAGAGTGAACACTGAAGCCAAATCTTTTAGCCCAGGCTCTTTGCTTAACTCTATTTTGCCTCTGTGAGGAAAAAAAAAAAAAGAAAGAAAGAAAACTAGATAAATAAATTATGTTGGAGAACTAATGGCTTTCGGAAATGTTCTTCTAGACAGCAAATCCCGCCCATAACTGTTAAGGTCATTCCTAATTCCAACCTGGAAATGCCTGTTCTCTTTACGACCATTGCCTCAATCATCTTTTGTCCTATGTATTGAAATCCACTTTACTCTTTACCCTTTAACTCTTGATTGCCTCCAGTGCTTGTTATTCAAATGTATTTCTTTTCTTTTCTTTTCTTTTCTTTTTTTGAGACAGAGCCTTTAACTGTCACCCTGGGTAAAGTGCCCTGGCATCACAGCTCACAGCAACCTCCAACTCCTGGGCTCAAGAGATTCTCCTGCCTCTACCTCCCAAGTAGCTGGGACTACAGGCACCTGCCACAATGCCCAGCTATTTTTTGGTTGCAGCCATCATTGTTGTTTGGCAGGCCCAGGCTGAATTCGAACCCACCAGCTCAGGTGTATGTGGCTGGCGCCTTAGCTGCTTGAGTCACAGGCACGGAGCCCAAATGCATTTCATTTAAAGCTTCTTGTTACAAATTCTTATTGACTTTGGTAGGATGGTGTTATTGCATTCACCATATTTAATATTTATACAAAATAGAATAAGTACTATTCTCTGGAATTTTAGACTTAAGCAAAGTTCTATTTCCAACTGAAAAATTTTTAGAAGTTATCTTAGTCCATTTGGGGCTACTATAACAAACTTCATAAGCTAGTTAGCTTAGAAACAATAGAAATTTATTTTCATAGTTCCGGAGTCTAGGAAGTTTGAGATAAAGGTGCTGGTAGATTCCAGGGTCTGGAGAGGGCCTGTTCCTCCTACACTGCACTTTCTTGCTTTGTACTCGCAGGCTGGATGGGGCTTCTTTGATAAGGGCTCTAATCCCATTCATAAGGGCTCCACCCTCGTGACCTAATCAACTCCTCAGGGCCCCATCTCTTAACACTACTGCATTGGGGACTGGGTTTCAACATATGAATGGGGGGGGCACAAATATTCACACTGTAGCAGGAGGCACAGAATCCAATACCTTTATTTCATACATGAGAGCAATGAGGCAGAGAGATTGTGCTATCTCCAACATTCATTCAAAAATAAATATGTAACAAGTACCTCCTATGTACCAGCACTATTCCAGACACTGGGAACACTTTGGTGTGCAAAACAGCAGAAACCCTGTATGATCCAGCTTGGGTGGGGGGGAAGAGAAGCAAGATAAGTTTACCAGTAAATATATTATCACTTCAAAGACAATAAATCCCAAAAAGAAAATATGGCAAATGATACAATAGTCAGAGATGCTGCGATGTTATTTGGGGACAGAGTGGTCATTGTTTTGGGGAACTGATCTTTGAATTGAGACGTGAATGACACAGGGAGCCAGTCATGAGGGGATATAGGACAAACGTTCCAAGGCCAGAGAATAAGGAGTGTAAAAGCCCTGATGTGAAAACTGGCTCAGAGTGTTCCAGAAGTAAGCCAGTGTTGCTGTAACCAGTGTGGTTTCCAAAGAAGGGTGCCCCGCTCTGGTGGGTACCAAAGACCAAAGCAGTAAAGTGTAGGTGTAGGAAGAAACTACTAGAATTTCTTTTTTCATTTATTTTTGTCCTATACTATATAATGTGTAATATTCTATATAGATTTTCTAATATTCCATAACATTAATATGATGGCACCAATGTATAATTTACAAACGTATACATCTCTAAAGGAAATATATATTCAAACTTTTTTACTATGTATTTGTGAAGACCACTGTGAGTGGACAAAGAGGGGAGGAAAAGCAAATGAAGGGTCCTTGCAGATCACGCTAAGAGTCTAGCTGGTTTCAGGGGCTGTGGGAAAGCACTGGTGGACTTAGAGCAGATGAGCGCAGGAGCTGAGCCCTTGAGCTGCCATGTGTGGAAAGGCCAAAGGCTGGAAGCAGGTGCTAGACCCAGATGAGCAAGCTCGGCAGCCTGCACGGGCACGTTAGCAGTCAGTGGGAGCAAAGTGGCTGGGGTCGGGATACATTTTGGAGATATAGTTATGAATTTTTTTTTTTTTGAGACACAGTCTTACTCCATGCCCTGGGTCGAACGCCGTGGCATCATAGCTCACAGCAACCTCAAACTCTTGGACTTAAGCCATCCTTTTGCCTCAGCCTCCTCAAGTAGCTGAGACTACAGGTTCTTGCCATAGCAGCCGGCTGGTTTTTCTATTTTTCCTAGAGACAGGGTCATGCTTTTGCTCAGGCTAGTCTCAAACTCCTGAGCTCAGGCAATCCACACACATTGGCTCACAGAGTGCTAGCATTAAGTTTACCAGTAAATATCACTTCAAAGACAATAAATACCAAAGGCATGAGCCACTGCACTGGGCTGAGGTATGAGATTTGTTTATAGGCTGTATATGGGGGAAGGGATGCATCAAAGAGAATGAATAAAAACTAACTGTCCTGGGTTTCAGCTTGTGTACTGAATGGCCTGTGGGGCATTAAGTGACATGAAGGAAGTAAGAGGAGGTACCAGATATCGGTGAAGAGCGCGGGTCACAAGCTCCACTGTGAAATGTAAAGGGAGAGAGGCCTGATAGATGCACAAGCCCAGATGGTGAGCAGCCTTGGCCCTGCGCTTCCTCTGGGCCGGGAACTTAGGGATAAGTGGGTGCTAACCCTAACTCTCCTGAGCCTGCAATTTATTTTCTTCCCATTATTCCAGTTGCTTCCAGGGTGATTTAATTTTTTTTTTTTTTATAGAGACAGAGTCTAACTTTATGGCCCTGGGTAGAGTGTCATGGCATCACATAGCTCACAGCAACCTCCAACTCCTGGGCTTAGGCTTCAGCCTAAGCCTCCGAGTAGCTGGGACTACAGGCACCCACCACAAAGCCCAGCTGTTTTTTTGTTGCAATTTAGCTGGGGCCAGTTTTAAACCCGCCACCCTCAGTATATGGGACTGGCACCTTACCCACTGAACCACAGGCACCACCCGAGATTTAACTTTTTTTTAAGTAAAGAAGTGACAAAAAAAAAATCTAGAATCTGAGAAACCATATAAACAACTCTTGGAAGTAAATGAAATGTAAATGTCTTTAACCTCGGCTGGGTTGAGTCAGAAAACTAGCTTAAAGCCGGAAACTGTACTGCAAGGTTTTCAGGGTCTCAGGATGTATTAACTACAGTCCTCGCTGGGTATCTCCGTGCTCGTCCTCCCTGGAAACACCCTATTGTCACGTACTGTCTCCATTTTCTATGAGGCCCTTTTCGATGGCTTTACGTCCTTCCACCCAGAGCAGGTCATGCTCTGCAAAGAGAAATAGTGCCATCAAGCTGCTTCCTGAAAATAAGGTGAGTCTCCTACCAAAAGTGGTTTCTTAGTCTCAGTTGGTCTAAGTTATCCTTGAGTCTCTTCACTACTTCAGAAGTCACAGAAAACTGGCATGGCCACCAAGGACTTAACAGAAGCAAACTTAGGCTTCTTTTTTATGTAGATCAGGTTTCTCAGCTGTGGCACTGTTGATAGGTCATGCTGGATCATTCTTCCTGCCAGGCTCTGTTCTGTGCACTGGGGGATGTGCGGCAGCATTCCTGCTGTCTCCCTGCTAGATGCCAGCAGCACTCGCATACTCATTTGTGACAATCAAAGATGCCTCCAGAATTTGCTAAATGTCCCTGGCTGTGGTGGGGAGTGGCAGGCAAAATCATAACAAGATGAGAACCACTGACTTGGAGAAAGAGTTGACCTTGTCCTTTATAAATTGTCACCGTCACTTCCCTTCCAAAAAAAGATAGGAAAGGATTAGCCACATACACTAGAAGACAACTGAGCAGTGAGGATAAAGCCACATCTTTTTAGGGAAGAGCATCAGCTGTAAATGTCCTTTGACTACAAAGATATAAGCCTGGGTGATCTGGGAAAGACAGAGGCTCCAACGTGAAATGGCCTTGGAGCATGTGCTCTCCAGCTGTGGGGAATGGGGGCAGTCTCCTGCCTCACCCTAGCTGGGCTAGGTCACCTACGTGGCTGGACATATATTCCCATCTGGGCAAAACACAAGGCAAAGTTTTCAAGAATAAAGACCCATTGTCGTTACTCTGGCTCGTGGTAAGTACTCAATGACTGTCATATGAATGAATGAATGAATGAATGGTCTTTCTCTGAAAAGTACTGAAAGTACAGTTTCCTCCTGAAGCCCCTGCTTGTCATCTGGCTAGTCTTTTTCCTGTGTGTAGTCTCAGCCCTAGGCCAGGAGAAACCAGGGCTGGCACTTAGCCCCTGTCACGAGATCAGGAATGGAGGGACTGTGTATAGGGAATCTGGCTGGACCCTATGCACATGCAGGCCTCCTCCAATCAAGCTCTTCTCTTCACTTACAGAAAACCAGCCCATGGTGAAGAGCCTGACCTTGCCAGCCCTCTCCTTGCCCATGAAGCTGGTGAGCCTGGAGGAAGCTCAGGCCCGCAGCCTGGCTACTAACCACCCCGCTCGAAAGGAAAGGAGAGAGAACAGCCTACCCGAGATTGTCCCTCCTATGGGCACCCTCTTCCACACTGTCCTTGAGTTGCCAGACAACAAGTAAGAGGGGTTCCTTTAAATTCTGGGAGATGTGTGGTAGAAGGAGACAGAGACTGTCTGGTGGCAGCATGGGCTGAGGCAGGGGCATCTAGGCGGGCTGTGCAGAAATGCTCCAGGAGAGAAAGGGGCTGTCTCCCTGCCCCTCCCTCACAAGGGCCTTCACTCACTGCCCCCGGTCTCCCACCATGGACCACAAACGTCATGTTGGGGGTGGAGAGTCATGGGGTCATGTCATGAGTCGTCACTGAAATTTCTTACTCTTTAAACAAAACAGGCTTGACATTTATAAAAGGAATTTTACTAAAAACGAAAACTAGACCTCTCTACCCGCTGCAAAGGGCATCAGGATGGGTCTCGTGATAGAGGACACCTGAACAAACGCTGCCATTCTAGGCTAGGAGCCCGGGGCGAGTGGCAGCCCCAGATTTCTTGCCTCCTTTCAACCCTGCCAGAGCCCTCCCTCCCCTTCAAAACAAATCAAACACCGTTCTCCTCGGGGGATATTTTCATTCTTCCTCTCTCACTTTTCCTTTGCTGCACTCCTGGTCTTCACCCACCACCTCAGTGGTACCCCACTGTAGAAGGAGGCAGGGCTTGAATCAGTCCCAAATTCTAGGCAGTAAATGGAAGGGCTGAAAGGCAGTCTTTTCATTGGAGGGTATCATCCCTGCTGTTTGGTCAAAAGAGGTATAAAAACAGGGACCCCTTGCAAGGCTGCCATCTTGCCCAACCATAGGGGGCACCACTGACACTGCATGCTGTAAGAATGGTGCACCTGGAACTCACCTGGTAAGATAACCCCCATATCCTGGAGACCATGGGTTGTGCTTTGTTGGGACTGAACCCCACTACTTCTCTCCCCAAATCCTTGGAAGGTAAGACTCTCACCCAGGGATCAGAAAGAATTCCCTGGAAGGACCATCAGATGCATTTTCTCTGCACTTTCAGAGATGCACCATACCCCAAAGTATGCCACCTATAAAATACCCCCCAAGGCCAGTATTGAAAAAAACTAGGCCTGCTCCAAAAGAAACCACTGAGCACCGCAGAGCTATCTCAGGCTGATTATAAAAACATTCTAGACTTGGGATCAGGATGTTCTAAGAGAGTCCTGTAAATAAAAGGATTTTTGTGTGACCTACAAGTTGCAGGGTTTCTCCTGGAACTTTATGAAGGCCAGTGGCTGGGTGGAGCCCCAGCACGGCAAGGTCTCCATGGTGACCCCTGATGGTGCCCAGCTCCTGTGACCCAGCCTTTCCCCAACCTTCCCCCAAAGCAGCCGGGTATGAGGAAAAGCCTAACTTCCCTCTGCCTGGCTTTGGAGTGCCCATTGGCCAACCCAGCAGCCTGTCACTCTCTCCAGCCACACCAGGCCAGATCCGTCTGCAGGTCCGCTTGCTCATCCAACCCTTTCCAGTCCATGAGTCTGCACCAGCCCTCTCCTCGCCTTTGGTGTCCAGCGGCACGGCCACAGTGCAGGGAGCATAATGGGACCGAGGTCTCTGGTCTTCAGTGTTTAATCTTATTTAAAAAAAAAAAAAAAAAAAGGTATCTTTGAAAACCCAGGACTAAAGTGCTTGCCAAAATTTCTACCGGAAATCTCAGGACTGTGTGGTTGCATGGGACCTTGGGGGCTCCCACTGGTCCCTCTGTGTGCCCCTACCCCTGCCTTTAGTAGCCAGCCTTTGCTTCTTGCCCTGGGGAACTTGGTTTGCTCTGACTCCTGACAGCCAAGCTTGTTCATCTAGGGCATCTCCAGCTGGGGTGAGGGTCAGGCTCAACTTGGATTTTTCCTAAAATATCAGAGCCATTCATAGCTAAGAACACAATTGGAATATTCTATTTCAACATAAGACTGACCAATGGGACACAAGAGTCAAGCATAGCACCACTTCTGTAGGATTTGTGCAAAATCCTATAACCTCATCAGACAAACCCACACTGAGGTGTAGTCTACAGAATAAATGGTCAGTACTGAAACGACTGGTTAACAAACTAACCCCTTGGTTCTTATTTGTTTTAGGAGAAAGCTTTCTAGTAAATCAAAAAAATGGAAATCAATATTTAACTTGGGACGTTCTGGATCAGACTCCAAATCAAAGTTGAGCAGAAATGGGAGTGTATTTGTGAGAGGGCAGAGACTCTCAGGTAAGAACCAGCAGCAGTTACATTTTGTGATACATGTATTTGTTTCCTAGCTGTGCTTCTTAAGTCTTTGTTTTGATATCATCCAACTCACTAACCCTGAAAGACAAATTTATAGATTAACTGAGGAGGTTGTAAAGCTTGGTAGGCTTACAAAAAAGTTGCAAAATAGTACATAAAAAAACTCTTTATGTAGCTTCCCCTGTTATTAACACCTTACATAATATAGTTATCAACGCCAAAAATTTTTAATATTGATACAATTTCATTAACTAATTTATAGATCTTCATCATATTTGAATAACTATCCCACTAATGTCCTTTCTGTTCTAGGATTCAATCCAGAAATCCACATTGTATTTGGTCGTCCTGTCTCCTTAATCCCCTTCAAACTAGGAGAATTCCTTAGTCATTCTGACTTTGATACTTTGAAAGTGTACTGGCCATTTATTGTGTAGTCAACACCTCAGTGTGGGTTTGTCTGATTGAGGTTATGGAGTTTAGCACAAATCCTACAGAAATGAAGCTATGCTTGGCTCACTGTTTCATTTCAGTAGGTACATCATGCCAATATCTTATTGCTTGTAAAAAGAACTTTGTTCACATGGTTAATGTGTTGTCTGTCATGAATTTTAGGACCCATCAGTGGTTCTTACCTGCAATAGTTATTACTGTGGTGTTTGCCAAACGATGATTTTCTGTTCATTGGAGTTTTGTAAGATCTGTCCCTTTTCCCCTAGTGTCATGATTTTTAAAGGACGGTGCCCCCCTTATTTCTGAAGCACTATGTAATGGAGACTATAACCAGTCAAGCTGACTATTATGTCAGGAAAGAGAAGACCAAGGAAATTTTCCAGAATGACTTTTTGTGTTTTGAATTGAAAGTATAATAAAAATGAGGGCAACAGTTATGAAAACAAGCTGTAAAAGATGAATGTACAAATGCAATGAGCAAAACTTGACTGGATCCTAATTTGAATTTTAAAAAAGCTACAAAAGAAAATCTAGGGAACAAATAGGGAAAATGGAGATATAGATTAGATATTAGGTGATATTAAGGAATTATAAATTTTCATATCTTAATGGTTCTTAGAAGACACATGCTAAGCTTGAGTATTTAAGGATGAAGTGTTAAAATATTGACCCTCGGCTCGG